CTCTGCTGGAGGATCTGGGTCTGTCCACGGTGGACCGGTCTCTGCTGGAGTCTGAGCTGAAGGAGTTTCTGGTGAACCTGCATGATTTCATCTGATTTCACCAGAATCCGACCCGGTGGCTCCGATGACGAGCATTAAGAATAACTCTATAGAAATAGACCATCTTCTCTCTGATGGTCTCTTTACTGATGTAGGTCATATAGAGACATATAAACTGAGTCTGATTCAGAACCAGTTCCAACTTTAATTTACATCAATAAAATAAGTTTCACATTTTTCAAATAGTCTTTTTTGGGAGGTGGGTGAGTGGGTAATTAGTGGAGATGACTTAGTTGTCAACAAGTCCGACCACTACAACTATGCTACCATGACAACTGAGCAAAATCCATCCTCTGAGGAAAACCATGAGATGCACTTATTAGAAAAAGCTAGTTAGTTAACTTTGAGATAAGATTTATTTTGTCAAACTTCCAATTTACAAGGTCAACAATAAACGCCCATGCTTAATTTCAAACTGTGTATGCACACCGAAGGAAAATGCAATTTGTGATTCTGTATTTTTTCCATAAACAACAGACAAGTTGCCCAAAATATGTGAAAACACGTCTCTATGGTGTGTCTCAGTCCCTGTGAGCTGTGCCACTGACCCGTTAATGCTATGGCAGGGATAACAGCCATAAACCTTTGCTGGCCGCCCCTTTAAAATGGTCTCTATGGACTGTAATTATGGAAGCTTACATACCTGGTGACCTGTCCACTTTCATTTCAAAGTATGTCCTGTCCCCCATCTGCTCCTGCTCTGGGCCTCCCAGACTGTGGGTGGATGTGCATGGTAGGATGTTGACGTAGGTAGCCAGTGAGGTGCTGCTGTCTCCGGATACTACGGACAGCAGGGGGAGGGACTCCAGGTCAGCTTCTGCCACGGACTGCTCCACAGACCGTGAGGGGAGGAGTTTGTAATACCGGGATTTGGCTAGGATGTGGACATCCCTGTCCTTCAACTGGGACACGCACCACCTCTTCAGTTCACTACTCACCCCTGCCTGCTTTGGGATGAGAAACAAGCTGCTTTATATACATAGACTGTAACAGCTGGTATTTCTATTTAGTTCAAATGACTCCTTTTGGCTGCCGACCATGACATGACATATCTTCCTATTTAAATCCCAACTTCTAAATTGAATCTGAAAAGTCTGAATTCACGAAGCAACAAGTTGTGTCCAGACCGCATTGATTCAGCATGTCCAACACTTTAATCTGCCCAAGCCAAAGTGAGGAGGAATCTTGCTGTAAGCAATTATGTAACAATTTTCAATCTTTCTGGGATGAAATTTGTCAAATTTTATATCTCAGTTCTTTTCCTTCAATGATATTGTCCACTAAATATTTAGCTGGAGTGACATTTTGGTGACACTAAAACTGACAATGTCTGCCCCTCTTATCAAATAAAGTAGATTATATGCACAATAGTATCAATATTACAGTATATGTGTCCTTCCAAAAAATGTGAGAACAATTCCAATTTAGGTTTGACTTTAAAGATGCACAAAATAGTTTTTCTTCAAAAAAACTGATATTGGTATCAAACTTTGAAAACCCAAAGGAACTGAGGCATCAGTTTAAGACACTGATGAAAGTGTGAAGTCCCTGATCTGTAAGAAGAGACAGTAGAAGCAGACCTGGTGTCTGTTCCTGTGGTCCATTTTGCCCAGTCTAATGTTGACCTGCTCCTGCACGTTCAGGACGTGCAGCCTCATCTCCTGCTGCGTGGCTTTCAGCTGGCCCTCCAGCTTCTTGAGCAGGGGCTTACAGAGACATCCGTTGGCCGCCGCCTGCGGAGAATGGTCACAAGTTACAAACTCAGTAGCAGGAAGGACTCCATGGAGCACCCTGTTTCTGTAATGGTTCTTCTATAGCAGGTGTGCCCAACATAACTCAACGTGAAGTTTTAGCTCCAAGCTTTTCTCAAAGTCCAATGACTGTTTCACCTTTTCAGATACTGTGGTCCCTTCTGATTTATAAAGAAAGCTCAAATCATAATCAAACAAATGTTTTTATCATCAATAACCTGTCTAATGTTGCCCTCCTTGTCGCGGTACAGTGTGTAGAGCTGATAGGTTTTTCCATTCTGAACGGAATCTTCACCATCTTTCCAGAGCAGATTCTTCTTACGGGCGAAGTCATTCTCGCCTTTTCTTTTATCATTTTCATTTAGAGGCTGCAAAGAAGTAAAAGTAATGGACTGTTAGTAGAGATTGCATGTGTCAGACGCTTCCAGTTCGTTGGAGCTTTAATGCATATTTGTTGAGTTTAAAGAGACTTGTATACCACTACACATAAACATACTTACTTGCACTCTCGCAGAAATTCATTGGAATTCCTAAGACTACTGACTGAAATGCCACGGCAAGCTAAGCACTAAAGTGAAGATGAGCACAGGACCGTAAAACCTGACTCTCTTTATCTGTGAACACCATGACAGATGAAGACATCCACTGTGGACTTGCTGAGCAGGACAGTCCCGACATCGCCGTTGTTGACCCACCTGCTCCTTGACCCTCCTCCTCTTTCGGCAGCTGTATGGGCTGCTGATGGCGGCTGGGCTCTTGTTGCAATACTGCCTTTGCTGCCTTTGCTGCTGCTGCTGCTGCTGTCTTTGCTGCTGCTGCTGGTGCTGCTGCTGGTGGTGACTATGACCCACCTTGAAGGCAGTTCTGCTCTCCATCTGTTCACTGCTGGGGGTGTCCTCCTCCACCACAGAACTGCTGACCTGCTCAGGGCAAACAGACAAGATCGAGGTACGTGAAGTTCAACTCAAATGCAAAATAAAAACTGCAGTCAATGAAGCGACGACAGCAAATGCTATGTATCGTTTTATAATCTAAAGAATTGATTTAATGTGACTAACGCAATTCTTTGTAATTCTCCCAATAGCTCAGGAGACTTCTACAAGGTACAAAAAATGTTTTAATGACATTTTCTTACTTTGTTTGGAATCATTTCTACTCTGACAGCTGAGTGCAGGACCCAGTCTGTCACCAGTCTTTCTCTTTGTTTCCTTATTGTTCTTCCTCGCATGAAGCGATGTACCTGAGGACAAGTACAACAATCTGCTATGGGGACATTATTGGTTACATTTGATTATGTATTGCTAGTATGGCAATACACTTAGAAAATAATCCAGACGTTTGCTAATGCTATTAAAAACTGTGATCGTGATAGTTATAAACCCCAGAGTGATACAAATTCTACAATTTAAATTCTCGACACTGTGCAGCCTAATGTTTTGTTTTGAAGTATATAATGGACTCAAGAATATGAAGTCATAGAATGTAGGTTCAGTTTAGACAAACCTGTGGAGCTCTGGCCAGGAGATGTGCCATATCTTTGTGGTTGTTATCTCTGGCCTTGTCCAGGGCTGTTTTACCTGCCTGGAAGTGGACAGTATATCAGACACGCTAGAAAACCTTTCACATAGCAGCACATAGAACAGTCATATCATACATAGAACAGTCATATCATATTTTACCCTGAAGTAAAGAGGCACATTTTACACAGTTCAGTTTCACCATCACAAGTCGTGCTGCTTGTATATCATTTCTATAATTTCTTTTGTGGCTCTGGATCAAAAGGTGGAGGCGTGAAGTTTGAAATACACTGGCATTTAAGAGGCAGGGAGGATTATTGAAAGACACAATCAAATAGCAGTATGGGAAATGTAGGATCCAGTGCTTTTGGTATTTTAGCCATATATTAAAAAAATATATACAGTATATACTTTTTTTTTCTCCTTTACATTAAAGCATGGAATTAACATGCTAGCTAACTAGCCAGCTGTCCACTAGCTAGCTTGTTAATTCCACCATTCTTTCATGTTAATCTGGTTACATAAAACCAAGCTGCCATTCATCTGGCGAAAGCAATCTGCATTTCTACGCCGTGACAAGATTGTGTAGATGACACATTAAGTTGTTTTTTACCGAGGGGATTTTACATATACCATTCATAGTCTGATTTATAGATAATTATTCCTAAATAAACTTATTTTTGAATAGTAGTTGACTGTATTTTATTTGTATTGATTGATTTTATTTATGATAAAAAACAAATATCCAAAATCTTACTGTCATAAGCACCATGTGTTACTGTGTCTAGAAATGAATTGATAACTTGAATTAAAAATAATGAGATAACAGTTATATATCTTGTGATATCAGGAAAATTGTGAATCTGTTCAGCATCCAGCTGGTAGAGGGAACTTACATTGTTTCTGAGTGTCCCATCAGTCCCCGCCTTCAATAAGAGCCGAACTGTCTTCTTATGGTTCAGAGCAGCAGCCACATGGAGAGCTGTGTCTCCGGCCTATAGGCAAACACAGACATGTAGGCCTTCACAGTACAGTATGTATATGCCTGTGTGTTTGTTCACAGTAGATCAGGTAAACATGCAACAATGTGCAATTTGTCTAGAGGCAAGCACACAAGTCAACAAATAATAATAAAAAGTCCTATAATAAATAAATAATGGATTAATATTTACGTGGGTTGAAATGGAGAAGTTCTTACAAGGATAGGTATCCAAGCTCAAATCTAAATACAGTCATAAAAAGTAAATATGTACATTTACTCCAGTATAAGGTACAATTTGAAGGTACATGCATATGACATATAGGACTTTTCACTGCACTACATTTCTACATTCTTACTTTCTCAAAACAAGGGGGATAATCTGCCGTTGCCGTGAGATGATTCCAAGGTGTTTTAACATTTCTATTCATTTCTATTGATTCTAAAGTAGTGAAAAATTATTTTAAATAATCTTGCAGATTTATTTCAAGAAAGAAACAATACATCACATAAAATAGTTCAAAATCCACTGATCATCCCACATCATACTGCTGTGTTCGTGTTGAGACATATAGGGGATACAAATATTTGAAAACACTCTGAAAAGGGTCATTCTGCATATTGAGTAATTTTACTTTTGTTACATTTTGTCGATAATACTTCTGTACTTGTAATGGAGTACTTGATGCTTTCACTTAAGAAAAAGATCTGAATTCTTTCCCTCCCACTTTCCAAATCAATGTCTCAAAACTTTGTCTCCTATTTCTATTTTCCCTGTAATTACAGCCACATTGACAAAGTTTTCACTAGAAATTTAAATAAAGTGTCCTGTATGAAACATAATTGTTTCAAACAAACATACCATATCAGTGAAACCACACGAGTTTCCATGAGTTTCTCTGGCGTACGCTTTTGCTGAAGTCTGAGGGATTTTGTCAATGGTTTGTGTCACGCGGGCTAAAAGATGTCTCGCAATATCATATTGATAACACTGACATATTGTACCTGGTTCCTCTCTGTCACGGAGCACAGAGAACCCAGCAGGATCTTCACCAGGGTCAGGTTGTCGTAGCGAGCAGCCACATGCAAACAGCTGTCACCCATCTGGAACCAAAACACAGTTCTCAGTGATATTAGTTTAGTTTATCACGATACTAATATCAGTGATGCACCAAGTGCGTTGTGAAACTATTCCTCAATGTTCAGCAGTCCACAGTAAACGAGCTCAATAGAGTCAGAGTGAAGGGTCTCCTACTTCTTTAACCATGTCTCTGAGGAGAGCACAGTGCATTGTGGGATGCCTGAGGACTCACATCGTTCTTGGTGTCTGGTGTGGATCCTCCCAGCAGCAGGAGGCGAGCCGTCTGAGCATGTGCGTTCTGACAGGCCAGGTGGAGTGCTGTGTTTCCTGCCTGAATCAACATACTACAGTTACTACTGAGTAAACATAGTGGGCTTCCATTTTACATTGTTAGGCTCACCACAACTTTGAGAGAAAAAAACAACCAGAGATTCTGATGCTGTCTAGAGTTTGACAAGACGGTCCACATTATGGCATGCGGTATTTGGCAGGCCATTTGGGTCCACAGAGCCATTCTTATCACATGTAAAATGCAGATGCAAGCAACTATAGAATATGCACTTTAAAGAGGACATATCATGCTCATTTTCAGATTCATACTTGTACCTTGGGTTTCCACAGGAACATAATTAAATGCTACAATATTAAAAAAAGATATGATTTTTTTCATACTGTCTGTCTAAATATACCTGTATTCACTCGCTTGTCTTAAACGCTCCATTTACACGCCTGTCTCTTTAAGACCCCACCTGAAAAATCCCAGTCTGCTCTGATTGGTCAGCCTGTCAACTACACTGAGTTTAGCGCCACCTCTAAACGGCTAGTAGTGGTCACCGGTAGAGGTTATAGAAGTCCTGACTTGCTCGTTTAAAAAAGCACAGTTTCTGAATATGTAGTTTTAATCGAAAAATGACATGGAAATCCAACTTCTTTCAATTGGCAGCTTTAAGTTAGTGAAAGTTTGAGGGGGAGTTACATGAGGTTATGTGAAGGCATGGCGTTGGGGGTTGGGGGGGTTACAGTTCTGCAACCGGACAAAAACACATTTGCTGCTAATACATAACACATTATAATTAAATTAATCTTTGTGCATTCTTAAGTCAAACTAAATAATCAGAAATGTGTTTTAAATTTCAGTATTAATATACTTATCCTGAAAATGGTATTCTGTTTTACGAACAAAGAACCTAGACTGAGATAAGGCCTCATTTATTTAAATTTGCAACTACAAACCAAGTGAAGACAGAGTGAAATATTGTTCTCCTTACTAAGAATCCATTTTTTCCTACGGAGTTCAGTCCTTTGCTACAATGGCTTTATTTGATGTTCTGTTGTGGTGTATTTATATTAGAATAATACAAATGACTCAGTCTACGGTACATTAAAGCATAAATGTATTTCAATCAAAATCCTCTATGCAGCAGTGTAAAGTACAGAAGCCCTGAGAGGAAATTTAGAAAAAAATTCACGTGATTCACTTTCTAAGTCTGATCAAATTTTTTGATTTAGCCAGGTTAGTCTCTAAGTTCCATCAAAACAATGTCATCTGTGAAACTGGTAATACACATTTTGGCCACAAGAGGCAGAAGTTCTAGATGTTTTCTTCCAGGTGAGCTTCGATTTCTTCAGTCTAAACACAACATACATATATTGTATTTCAGCAAGTTATGTAAATTAAAACTCACCTGAAAGAAAGCATGACTGCTTTAAGTCCGCTTTCAGTCAGCTTATTGTGGCGGAAATGAGTATTACAACAACAAACACTTTGAAAAAAAAGTTCACCTGCCAAAACCTGTTTTTTTCACCTTTATTCACAGATGAAAGTTTTACCTGAAAAATCTTTTTTTCACCCAATTTTTACATCATAAACAACGGAGAGAAAACAATGTAGATCAGATTTAGAATGGATCAATCTCAATGCCTCTGTAGTAATGCGAACGTATGCAAAAGATAAAATAATGTTAGCTCTGGTACAATGAGACAGAAAACAGTGTCTTTTGTCTCATTGTCTTCATTTATGTTCTATGAAGCACTTTATAATAATTTTTATAGCAACTCTATCGGCTGTACAAGGCTACAAGTACAAGATGTGGATGAAAGTTTCAGAGACATGTGTTCTATACATTTAATGTTGCCAGATTTAAAGTGCATTATTGTTGTTGATGTTGTTGTTATCATTCAGTGTGGCTTTGTGGCACAAGGCAGTAAAACTGCCTGTGCCAAAGCACACTGTATATTATCCATCGGGCTTAATCATAATCATAACTAGAAAATTTCGCAAGACATTTTAACAGTGTGGCTTCTACTGCCCGAAGACGTCGCAATATATAGCTACACACGCTGATGTTACCAGTAGTATCGTTGAGGTTCGATTGAGATATCGCTTCTCTCTTTTCTGCATTTTAGATTCATACTCTTGGAGTGAATCTTATATTCGTGATGGACAGTCCACAAATGGCTCCCGTCATTTCTGTACTGGACATGTACATCTTTGTTTGAGAAGCCTTTGGAAATGACGGCAGCTAACGCTCCCGTCATTTCTGTACAAACCTCATTCTGAGCTTCATGTTAAGATACAGTTACTCTATAGGGCTTTTATTTTGAAAGGGTGGGACTGGGTGGGGGAGAGAGGGGGAGAGGAGACATATTCATTATGTTTGACACACAAACACAGAGGTTATTAAATGACAGGCTTCATCACAAGCATTCCAGTTAGAATTCACTCTCTGGAGCTTTTATTTTTAAATGGGGGGGGGGGTTCTCTAAATATATCTAAAACCTGAATGACTGTATGATAGAGAGAGAGAAACATAAAGACATAAAGATGATTAAGAAACGTTGCAGTAATCAGTGATTTTGAACAAAACCCCTGCCTCCTTTTAACAAATTAGCAGGAGTCTAAGTGCCAAAATATGGATACCGTGAGAAAGATAAGACTCTGGCAAACGCGCTGATGTGTTTTTTATGTTTGTGGTGTTAAAAATGTGAGCTCCAGAGCAATATACAAAACTGGTACCGTCTGCGTTCTTTGAGAAATTAGTGGTGAGATTTAACATGGAGTCTAATGGAGCAGTTGGTTGGAGTTCATGTCGCTCTGCGGCTCTTTGAGCCAAATGTGTAAGTCCGTTGGATTCCATAGATACTTTACTGCGACCAGCACAACATTTCCAAGCTTTTTGGCCAAAATGGTGTATAAAGAGTAAAAATTGTGGGAGCTGGAGCAATTTGTTTGGAAAAATCACAGAAGATTTTCAAGCTCCGCTCCACTCTGACAGTTATGCCCTCACTCTAGCTCTTAAAGAGCCGTGCAATACACACCCATTATAAAATCTGAAACAGACCCAAAATTTTCCTGAAACTTAATCTGTGAATTCATGAAAACTGTGCTAGCTATCAAAATGTCCCTTTGGCTCAATAAAGTGCAGCGTTTTGTTTACGTTTTAAACTTTGAATCATGTTTCTACGTTAATGTACGGCTAGTCAATATGGGCCCAAAGTTTGTTTAGCTCTCTTCACGCCGAAACCCCATTCAAGTGAATGGAGAAATTTTGCTCAGTTTTTGGGGATTTTGGGGAAAAAAGCTTGGAAATGTTGTGCTGTCGCACACAGATGTCTGTGGAATCCAACGGACTTACACATTTGGCTCAAAGAGCCGCAGAGCGACATGAACACCAACCAACTGCTCCATTAGACTCCATGTTAAATCTGACCACTCATTTCTCAAAGAAAGCAGACGGTACCAGTTTTGTATATTGCTCTGGAGGTCACATTTTTAACACCACAAACATAAAAAACAGCGCGTTTGCCAGAGTCTTATCTTTCTCACGGTATCCATATTTTGGCACTCAGACTCCTGCTAATTTGTTAAAAGGAGTTAGGGGTTTTGTTCAAAATCACTGTTTACTGTAATGTTTCTTAATCAGTCTGCCTCTAACACCAGGTGCGTCCTCACCATGGCAACCAGTTACACACACACACGCAGGCTCTCTCTCTCTCTCTCTCTCTCTCTCTCTCTCTCTCTACACACACACATGATATTCAAGGAAAGATCATTAGACCTCCTGTCTGCCTGTCTCACTCACTGAGTCCATCTGTCTGTCTGCCTGTCTCTCTCTCCCACTCACTGAGTCCATCTGTCTGTCTGCCTGTCTCTCTCTCCTACTCACTCAGTCCATCTAACTGTCTGTCTGCCTGTCTCTCTCTCCCACTCACTCAGTCCATCTAACTGTCTGTCTGCCTGTCTCTCTCTCCTACTCACTCACTCAGTCCATCTAACTGTCTATCTGCCTGTCTCACTCACTCTGTCTCTCTCTCCTCTCTGTCTATTTTTCTGTCTGTCTCTCTCTCCCTCTCCCTCTCTGTGTCTCTCTCTATCATACAGTCATTCAGGTCTAAGATATTTTTAGAGGACTTTTCCCCTCCCCCCATTTCAAATTAAAAGCCCCACAGAATGAATTGTAACTGGAATGCTTGTGACGACGCCTCTCATTTTAGTGTCAAACATTATGATTCTGTCTCCTCTCCCCCTCTCTCACCCACCCAGTCCCACCCTTTCAAAATAAAAGCCCCAAAAATACAAGATTCAATCCAAGAGTATGAACCTAAAATGCAGAAAAGAGATTAGCGCTATCTCAATTGAACCTGAATGACACTACCGGTAACATTGGCGTGTGTATATATTGAGATTTCTTCGGGCAGTATAAGCCACAAAATTTCTTTAGGAATTTTCTAGTTATAATTATTATCCTACCTTGTTCCTGATGTGTACATCAGCTCCGGACTTGACCAGTAGTTTGATGCAGTGAGAAAATCCGTGCCAAGATACCTCATGCAGCGCAGAGTTGCCGTCCTCAAACACAAAGGGGACAAAGTATTCCCATCACAAACTGTTACCATTTCATCAACCACGCAAATTGAGAACGTATGAATGAATGTTTCAGCAGGTGTGTGAACAACTTCTGACATGTACGGCAAGTCCACCACTTACTCTGCCCTGCAGGTCCACAGCACAGCCTCCCTGAATCAGAGCAGCCATGGCGTTACTGTTCCCCGCCATGGCAGCTCGGTGCAGGGCCGTCAGGTGACCGGGGCCCTGGCATGATAGTGGAGCCACATGGACCGCTGCCTGTTCACACATCACACACACACATTCATGTTCGTGGGCCTATACGTACCTGTTCTGTACATGTGTGAATGCATAAACAGTATTTTACAACAGATACATGTATGTCACACAATCATTACAATATTCATTTTAGTTGAATAAGAAAAAAACATCACCACTGTTCCTACGACATTATCAGTAATATTTTCCTGTTCCTACTCACCTTCAGATGAATGACGTCAATCCCACAGTAGTCAGGCAGAATGGATCTGGCACTTCCTGTTGTCACAAAAGTAAAAATGTTTGAATTCAACTGAAACAGGCCAAGGAGTGTGAACCGAAAATACTGCAAAGCTCAGGAGACTGGTGACCCTGTGGGTGCATTGACCCTATGCTCCAGAGAGAAAGTAAAAGAAAAAGGTTTAATTTCTCAGTAGAGTTCTTTTCATAATGTTGTCAGACGCTTATAATAACAATCTGAACCTGGCAGTGGCAAAAACAAGAACTTTTAGTGGACGTAACGTTACAGGGATGCTACGCAATTGCCCTTGCAGGTCATTTAGCAGCTGCGGGTTACAGCATTTTCCCTGTATACCTCTATATAGACCAATTTCAAAAGCTGTTGTCTCCATTAGTCACTTTGACACAAAAAACATGAGTAAATAGCATACATGTTGAAAAATACCAAAGTTCCCCTTTAAGGTTCAGGTTAGAATCAGGTACGAGTTATGGGATGATGGTTAAGGTTAAGTAAGGGGCTAAGGAATGCGTTATGTCAGTGAAGACAGAAGGGGCATGTGTGTCGGAGAATTAAGTACAGCCAACAATATTTAATCAACAGGCTGGATCCACCTAACTGCTTTCTACTCTAGTGTACAGCACAATGAACTTAGTTGTAGGACTTGTATATGGATATTCCACCAATTTTAGGGCAATGCAATGGGACAATGATCCTAAACATATAGAAAAACTCACTTGCATACAGTCCAGGCTAAAATAAAAATATTTCATGAAATGGAATTTTCTGTATGTATGCACATAATGTTTGGCATTTATCCTGTCCAATTTTCATTTCAATGTAATAATTGGTAATAATATAATAATTACTGCAAGACTGAATAATCAATATGTTGATTTAAAGGAGTTATAATCAATATTTTATACAAAAAATGGATCACAGGACTACTACGAAGTATTGCTCGCAGTGACAGACCCACAAAGATTCATCACCTGACTGTGCAGTTCCCCTCAGCGCTTTAGAAGCATTAGATCGTTTTAGCCTCTTTATATGGGGTCAGATCAGTCTCAATAATTGCAAATGCACACAGAAAGACTCACAAATGCAAACAGAAAGATTCACAAATGCGCAAAGAATAATTCACAAATATATTCGATTTACAAATGCACACAGAATGATTCACAAATACATTCCAATGCACACATAAATAAATTACGATTTATATAAATGTAAAAAAAAAAATCACAAATATATTTCTGCATTTGTATGTATTTCTGTGTGGATTTTTTACATTTGTTTTGTGGATTTGTATGTATTTCTTTGTGGATGCACTGCATTTCTTTGTGGATTTTTGAGACTCCCCTGATGTCGCTGGATTCGCAAATGCGTTTTTTTCAACATTCTAATTGTCAACCAATCACATGAGCGCAGCTCCCCCCTCCCCTCCCCACGAGGCTGATAGCGTTAGAGTTGCGCAATTTGCGGGGGTGACAGGTCACTTCCTGTTGCAAGCTGTCACTGTTTTGGTGCGGATTCCGCGGTAGTTTAGTCTTTATTTGTCTTTATTTGACATTATGTGACAATACATTAAGGTCCTTGAAGGTATGACTGTTGGTAGTTGTAATTGGTTTAGTAAAAAAAGGCCGAATTGTAATAGTAGGGGAAATATCTGTCTCTTTAGCCGCTAAATGGTCCACTATCTTGACCATCTAGTCTCTAACTGTGTCTGTTTGCTGCTGAGTGGGTACGTACAGTCACTTTATCAGAGCTGTCTCACTGAATACAGTTACCTGCTTTTGTGTTGTTGGCTCCCTCACTAAATACCGCTGACCTGAATTCTCAAGCTGACTGTCCTGATCCTTTAATGTTAAGTATCTGACTGTTACGACAAAGGATTTCATGTGTTTCATGTGCTGCATTTGAGCTGATAGTCAGATTATACTCTATGCCAAGGGTCAACATTTAATCTTTGTTGGTGATTAAATATCTTGAAACCAAAGCATGTGTACTCTGAAACACTTGGGCTCATCATTCACTCTTAATCTGTTCTCTTCACTAATCCCACTTGTATCACATACAGTTGTTCTATTTTTAACTTACTTAAAACGACCCATTTATATCAACATAAAGAGCCAGTTCTCTTCACGGAGACAGCAGCCATGTTTCTACAGTAGCCCAGAATGGACAAACCAAACACTGGCTCTGGATAGGGCTATTTGTGTTTTTGTGTCAGACACAATTGTAGTAGTTCTCCTCCCGCTTGGCACACAGGAGAAAATTCACTTGGTGGCAAATGCAACCTCACCGCTGGATGCTGCCAGATCCTCCACACCAGACCTTTAAGCTCCCTTTTCACTTCTATTAGCTGTTTTCATCATAATCATCTCAAGACCGCTCAGATCTCATCCCTAAAGGCAGAAGCCTTTTGCGTAGGAGCTCGACAATATAGTGTGATTAACTTTGTGTAACTTTGGCGGTTAGGTTTAGACAACAAAAACACTTGGTTAGGGTTTAAAAAAATATCGTAGTTTGTCTTAAAATAAGTATGCTTGCAATGTAATGTAAGCTACGGACATAAAGTCATGTGACAGACAACATGTGACAGAAAGTCGTCAGTAAAAATCTGAGTAAATCAGTAGGCACCTCCACATTTTAACTAATATTTCTTAGTTCATATGGAGGTGCATCTAGGGTGCTAGGGCCAGATGCCAGTAACCCTTGCTCATGTCAAGCATGGAGATACATTTGGATGTCCCCACTCTCTCAAAGTGAGTCAAACTTGAGACAGCAATAGAAAAGGGCTCTTCAAGCTGTTTCAAAAGTCTGCTGAGCTGGAATCAGAGAAAAAGAAGCCTATAGAGCTTAACACCCCACAAACCAAAAGTATAATGCTTGTCAAGCTGTGAGACGTCTCAGGTCTGTCAAGAGTTCACATCCTGTTGTAAACTGTTTTAAATGAGTCAAACATGGATAACTTGAGATGTTTACACACTTTCCCAAATGTTTCTGAATAAATACAACTTTCAAATAATGAAACCAGACCTGGGCCCCGTTCCTCGTACCTGGCTAACTGAGTTAGCCGGATCATTTTCAGGATAAGATTACATAGATCAGGGTTTTCGGTTCCACAAAGCAAGTTTGGCAAAATCACCATAGCAACACATCCATAAACATGAACCTGCTCCAGCGCAGGCTAACTGAAGGTAGCTGGATAAGCTTGCCACTCCCCCGGAAAACATGGCAGCTCCTGTCATATACGGTAGTCTAATGTGCTTGCGCATATACTGGGGGTTATACGGGAGTTCCGGAAATGCATGTAAAGTGAGACACACGGTGATCCATTAAAAGCAGCTGAGCAAACTAAGAAGCCTCTATTGCATTAATGCACAGCTCCCTTCCTCAGAGATCCCACTGATGAAGGAACGATATTAGTTAGATTAGCGTTTTATAGGGAGAGAGTTCTTCCACATCGCCAAGATCCGTTATCACATCATGATGACTTCCTATACGAGCGCTATCCATTCTGCCCACAAGGAATCATTTATTTACAGACCTTCTCGAGCCATACATTGAACACCACACGCCGCAGCCGAGCATTGATTGTCTCACAGACTGGATGCACAGACTTGCGCTTTTTTGCGAGTGGTACATTTTTGTACAGTGTTGGCGATGCGGAGAACATCGGGAAAGCCGCTGAATGCTGTGCTGTTCGGAAAGTTTATTTGGCGCTTAATAAACTTATGGATGTGTTCAAGACATTACCATGGCACATATTGACTCACCATTCTGAGTAATGTGTTTGTGCTTGTAGTGTTTACTTGCTCCCATGTCCTCTTGATGGCTGGTTGCATACATGAGGGTTGAAAGCACTCATAATTATATGACAGTGTTATTAGTACACCAGCATATCATTACTGTAGAAAATGATTAAGGTGGACTCATGATAAGAATAGAGAGAATCACACACTTTCTTTTCACTGCTTCAATTGATTGAATTTCTGATTATGAATAATACATACACACTGATCCGCCCATACACAGATTCACACACACATATTCAAACTCCTAGTTCTATATGGTAATCTACACATACATGTATATACTAGTGCTGGGCAACGATTACAATTTTTAATCGCGATTAATCGCATTGTTATGGCAAAGTTCAATAATGAATTCAAAAGTAGTGTATTGCGCACTTTTATTTTAAAAATACTGCTATATGAACAAAAGTGCAATAACATTTGGTTTGCAAACACTTATTAAAACAAATTAGGTTATTTTTAACAGCAGTATTCCCTTTACACAGTAGCAGTTCTATTTCTTCACTATCTGTGCTCAGTGTGCTGACTGTATGTGAAACGTTCCACTGCTGTGCAACAGGAATAACATGTTTCAGCACGTTTCAGCAAAATGTCTATCTTCTGTCTTCATGACAGTCAGAGCATGTGAATGCAGCTCTACTGTTCATTAATATAAAGACACTTTACGCACAATTTAGGTGTATTTTCCCTTTAACTCACGAGATGCAGGTAGGATGTTTTATACTCAATGTGAATATAATTCATACTTTGTTGGCATCTTATTCTGAAAACCGGATGTTCGTCTGAAGAAACCGGATGTTGTCTCAAGTTAATATTTCCGCTAACTTTCAAAGCCCTTCGCTGGCTCCCGATCTGCGCACCTTGAGAGAGTTCCTCAGACCGACATCTTCCACAACACTAACCGGCTGCAGTTTGTATCCACTTCTCTGTAGCATCTGTTAGCTTGTCTTGCTTTAGTTTATCTATACTTCTCCTACACGCTGCATCAACGTAGTCTGAAGACTTCCTCCACGCTGGCAGTGAGCAACAGACTTTCAAAATAAAAAAATGCGTTAACACGCTATGAAATAATTGTCGGCGTCAATTAATGAATGCGTTAACGCGATAACGCGTTAACTTGCCCAGCACTAGTATATACACATATATAGTAGGCTACATGATACATACGTGCATACAGTACATATATCCTCATATTAATTCGTATCAATTAGATACTCTTT